TAACAGCAGCCATGAGGTTAAATATTTACATTGCTTTATAAAAGTTCCCCTCTTGCTTTAGTGTTTCCATTTTGCTTTTTTTTTTATTTGTCTGTTTGTTGCTTTAAATTTTTTTTAAATGATATTCACCCACATCCCTAGTACAGTAACAAAGATTCTGCAAACATAAAACACTTTAATTAAATAATACTCGGAGGCACAAAGCAAACTTCAGGAGTATGTGGGTGAACATTTACTTAAATAATTACTACATTCTAACATCTTCCACGTGTTTTACCATTTAATGTGAAACGTCCTCATTTAAACAGCCAGAGAGACAGTAAGAATTAAATGTTTTGTTGTTGCAAATAGAACATTCTTTTCACAAAACATAACAAATGTCTAAAATAGGTTCTTAAATCTAGATAGGAAAAGGTAAGCTTTCCACTTCACACGCATATATATATGTATATTTTTACATGTGTGTATATGTGTGTATGTGCTTTTATGTTCACACATCTGCACACACATACATAGCACATGGTATGAAATATTGCTTCTATACTACTTTTCATTAGGCTAAGAAAACACAAGATTTGCACCACAGTTACAAAAAATTGGCTTCTACAAGAATTTTCAAAACTCGAATGCTGCTCAAACAATTGAGGAAAAAAATAATTTGCGGTATCAAACTGTTCTAAAAATTCTCTTCTTCAAAAACGTATTCTCCCGCTTTGTTTTAAAAAGACACAAAATATGCATAGCTATCAACATTACGTCAAACAGCCAGAAAAAAAATCTAGTGTTTATTGCAGCTGTAGTAATTGGAAATAAAGTCAAAAAGATGAAATCGAAAGCCACAGAAGGCACAAGAACAATTGTACTTGTGGGAAAAAACTGGTATTTTGAAGGATTTTTAAAAATCCCCCCGCTGGTGCATTTAGATCTAGGCACAGACTATAACCTCAAGTGTACACGTAAAACTAATTTAGAATTAGCAGAAAATAAGTGTAATGTGGAATTTCAACATGGACTTTAGACTCTTTTTTTTTTTTTTTCTCTCCTGTGTAAACTGTCCCTCATCCTTCACCCTCCCACCGCGGAAAGTCAACTTTCTCCCATGGAACCCAATTTTCACGTGGTGAGAGTTAAGATTTGAAAGTTGGTGATTTTTGTTTTTCAAGTAACTGTTAAATAGGAGTTTTTGAGAGACAGGTTTTCATCATTTTCCAATGCACTCGGAGGCACAAGATTGTAAAAGGGGGAAAACGATCTGAAAAGCAGAGTGGTCGAGTTCTGTTTTCAGAACAAAGAGGTGAGTTTCTCTCAAGCTGCAATTTTTGACTCTGAAATCATTTCTGTGCCTCGGTAAACACTGAGGGGATATTCTCAGTGCTGTAAGTGCATCGACACTAGGTTGTAAACACACACTTTTACTTAATTTATCTATCTAAATTAGAAAGGCAGGGGATAATAATATGAAAAATCCAAATAAGTCTGGAATCAGTATTTCACTTGCCCCAGATTAAGACACCTAGTCATCTCTCTACCCAGGTGAACCACTGCTCTGCTGTTTTGCCCTTTACCTCGCCCACCCAGGGCAACACAACGTTGATGTTAGGAATTACCAGGAAAAGCAAAGACCAGTTGCATGCTGACATGAACAACGAATGTCAGACTCTTCCCTATGAAGCAAATTCAGTTGGCTTCTCTACTTGTGCTGATTGGAATCTTTTTTTTTTTTCCCCTAGACTTTTATTCCAATATAATGATTATCCAAACTTTTTTTTTCTTTTAAAGTAAGCCAAAAAAAAAAAAAAAAGACAAATTGGATCCTAATGATTCAGTGTGCATGAGTGTGAGGGTGTGAGCTGGGAGATAGATGTGTGCGACCGTGGGGGCTGAGCGAAAAGGTTGGCGCCCCAGCCCCAACCGCAGCACACTCTGTCCACACTGTGAGGGCCTGTGAGTCTCCTGAATGATGCCCGGCATCACAGGACTGCACCATTTAATTTAAAGTCAGCAGGTTTTAAGGCTTTGTGCTGACAATAATTGTGTTCATACATTCCTGTCCATCAGCAGAATTTATAAATGATGTTAAATTACAGCGAACGGGTCAGCTAGTCAGTCACATGGGTCAACCTGCAGTCTCCAAAGTCAAATATGATTTTTTATAAAAATTAAGGGAAATGGCATTTATGTTCTGTATGTTTTAAATACCAGATTTGTTACTGTGTCATTTTAGGAGGTGTATATCAAATTATCTGAGGGGAAGAAGGGGCCTGGAAAACGCCATTAGAATGAATCATGAATTTGACTCCATCCACACATAAAAATTGATCTAAGAAAACAAGTGTGAATGCTGTTAGATTTTTTTTTTTTTCTTAAATGCACGTATGGGACATTGTACATCACTGAAAAAAACTGGGAAAAAAAAAGAAAAGAAAGAAAAAAGAGGAGAATCATTGAAGAAAGCTTAAAATAGCAGCTAGCTTTCTTAGGTGTGCTGAAATTGTGTCTTTTGGGTTAACCCCAAATTTTCCTATGCTATACACTATTCTCACATTTTGGTCAATCCTAGCTTCTGACTTAGAAGAGACATTATCAATTGCTTTCAAACGTTATACCTAAAATGAAAAAAAAAACACTTAGACTGTCGCCACTTTGAATACCCATCAGGGTAGTGTAGAGCTGTATATATGGAAACAGGTCATTCTCACACGTCCTCCTCTTAGGAGGCAAAGATCAAGTCAGCTGACAGCTGTCAACAAACTTGTAGTGTAGGCAAGGATTTTATGGTCCATTGGGATTTCTTTTATTCCTTACTGTAGAAAGGTATAGTGTCTTAGAAAAAAAAAAAGAGTTAATTAAACAAATAATAATTCTTTTAAGCATATAAACAAAGTCAAGCAAAGAATATAATTGAAGCTTATGTGCCTTTTAATATCTGAAGCAAAATAAATAGAAAATGATAACAAGTTATAGGGCTTTTCTCTATGAAGAGTGATCTAAGCTCACTTATTGTGAAGAACCTATTATAAAGTTGACAGAGGTGGCTAAAGGATCATGTGTGATTCCAGTCTTATCTTGAAAGAGTTAGTTTTGTACAAAATTGCTTTGCCTCCATTAGAAATTGGTACGAGTTTGGGGGTGTTTGCCATTTTGCTCTTAGGAAAAGACCGACAGTGATTATTATTTTTTCTTTTTTAATTTGGACTGTTGGGGTATTTTTGAAAAGTGAGCTGCTCATCTGTCATTGGGATTATTTTTAAACACATAAGAAAAAGCTACTTACTGAGTTCAAACCAAACAGAATACTTCAGTGTATGAAGTGGTTTCATTGAGTTTCCAGACCTTCTTAACAATTAAAAACAAGAGACACATCAATGTCAGTAGAGCTGTGCTGTGTCATGGTTTACCTCAGCCAACCGCCATTTGCAATAAGCCACCAATCCAGCGGATGCATCTTTCACAAATGCCCTTCCTTGCTAATGTAGACTTTACACACGCCAACATTCTTTTTCCCTGAAAATTAACCCTATGTTAAGTCTCCAAATGTTAAGGGCCGTGGGCAAAAGTAAACTAAAGGCGGAAGGAAAAATAACCATCCCCTCATAGTGGAAAACAAAAGGAAATGAGAGAGATGATGATGAGGAGGAATTACCAGCTGATTTCATAACATATCCATGCCTCCCATACACATATATATGAAATCAAAACCTAGACACATAAGTTGGACATCCAAAGGGGACTGCTACTATTCATACATTCAAAAAGAGTTGTTGAAGTTTCTACTCATGAAGCAGCTCTTGTAGGCAGTTTGGGGATTTGAAAATCTCAGGGACTTCACTATCCAGCTTGCAGATGACCTTGTATATGGCCTTCTTCCAGGAAGGATCAACATCTTTGCCTGCGATAATGGCATTGAAAAACTCCCGTAATGTGATCTGCGCAACTTCCAGGAATCTCTCTGGAACCTGCTGATACAAGGAGACAATGGCATTAATAAAGTTTTCAGTTTCAGGTCTACAATTCTTCAAAGGAAACTGAGCTAAGTTCACTCTTTCAGAAAGAGGCTTCCATGGTACCTGCATTTTCTAAAAATGGCCGGCTTCTATTCTCTTATGTAAAATCATTATATATAGTAGCATTGTAATATGAGGTTGACAGCTCTGTGGAGTTTTAGAAAAAGAATTGTGCAGAGCCTACACGCAGACCTATTGAAAAAAATAGGATTTCGTTGTGAACATTAGGGTAGAGAATAGGAAGGAGGCAGTTGGGATTCCTGATTTTATTAAGTAGGTCCATTCCAGAAGAAAATCTCCAGTGAATTTGTCAGAATATAATTCATATTTCCTTTTGATTTCCATCATGAAAATAAAATGTGTTCTCACAATCAAATAATAAATAATTGAGCATCTATATAAACTAAACCCATACTTTCAATAAAGAAAATTTAAAATCTCAGCTTCTGGATTTGTATCAGAGGACTGTTGCTGAACTCTCAATTGTGTATTAAAACAATCTGTACTATGAAGTATTCTACATTCATAAAGGAGTAAGATAATATCACAAAATATAAAATTTAAACTGAATCCTAAATTGCCACATCAGAAACTGCTTTGAGGTTAGAATTGCTCCGTAAGAAAATGATTTATGCAGTTGATAATAATTATGAAAACTAACATTTTAGTATGTATCAGGCACTAGGTTACCTGCTGAATGGGAATGTCATTTCATTCTCCCAAATTCTCTGTGAGATATTATTATCCAAGTTATACAATAAAAAAAAAAAAAACCTGAGAGATCAAGGAAATTGCTCAAGGTCATTATATTCCAAGATAAACACTTCCCAAGTATTCTTTTTAGATCAGTATTTATAAATCCTTTTCTTCTACAGCAATTAATAGATGTGTTGTGTATATGTGTGTATATGCGTGTGTGTCTATGTTCTCTTGTTAATTTAATAGTTTCATCTCTTGACTAGGGAAAGGAGTAGCAACTGGTGTACCTATTTATTATTCTTTTTAAGTTACTTGTAGTAAAATGTGGTCTATCTTTCCCCATTGTCAATATAATGGATTCACAGAATAATGCCACCAACTCATAACTTTCCAAGTACATGTTGACACTCAGTGGAGATCTTTTAGGGGTGCGTTTATACATTGCTGACTGTTTTATTTTTACATATAAAGACATACAAATATCATGGCTATATTGTAAATACATCTATCTACATACATAACAGATGAAAGATGTTTTTCTCAGTACAGATATGCTGCAGAAAAGGAGAGACATTGTCATGTTGAGACTCTCTCCCCACCTGTTCCCCAAACTGCTGCAATGGACCTTTTTATCAGGATAGTAACTGGTAAAGAAAACTAAAATAATGACCCAATATTCACACTCAAAATTGGACAAACAAGCCTATTACTCCCAATAGTAAATCAATTGTTCTCTTTAGGTAAGCCTAGTAATTCCCCAGCAAAAAAAAAAAAAAAAAAAAAGGGTGGGGGGCTCTATTTGGTGTCTAGCAAAAGGAAGAATTCTGCACAACCTTTACCAAACACATTTACACTGGCCTATTGTTAGCACACAGTTCCACATCCATGGGTGACCGCCTGGAAAGTCACCCATGGATGTGCGTGCAACCCACCGTTCCCTCCTGAGAACTCATCCAGCTTTCCCACAAACCACTGGTGATCTCCCCCAAAGCTCCTGGATACACGAGAGGATTTGTTGGAGGAGAGCTTAGCCTCCCACTCACCTTATACCAGAACAAAGTCATTAGGCAGACTTGTTGAGTACTCTTCCCTCCTCCTCCCAAAGATAATCCTCCACATTTTATCAAAAGGGCATTACTGAGAGAGAGGATCTGGCTGGAGAACAGTTAGGCAGTGTAACTACCCACTAACTATTTGGACTGGGAGCTGTTAGCCAAATGCTACAGAAACATAATCATTGGCATTTATTAAAATAAACATTTCAAGAAGTGTGGTTCCACTGGCCATTGGCAGTAGAGCCTCTACAAAAATCTATGTTCCTTGAACACTCAGAGGAGCAACATGGCAGAAAGCGTTGAGGGATGACAGGTGTGGGCAGGGGCTCCAGAGGAAGGCAGAATGCTGGAAGCCTTGCCCACTGCAAGGACCCCACGGGAGGTCTGGGGAGCCAGGGGAAGAGGAAAGAGGGGCGTTGTGGAGATTGTCCGAGGAGGTAGATACATCTAGAACAGCATCAGCACCAGAGGAGGGAGGCAAGAGTAGCCACAGGATTTGAAAGAACAAATCAAGGTAACTTCATTGGGGATTCTGTGCAGGCTCTCTAGCTCATTATTCTTATCATCGTTCGCCATGCCTGCTAAAGGTTTTTTAGTGGGTTTTGTTCTGTTTCAAACATTCGTTTCGTGTGGATATCATCATGGGCTTAGAATATCTTCTGCATTTGTGTTTTGATGTTACATAACTTTTTACCTACTTGTGTCTACCTTATCCTCAGGTGTCTTTGGGTGAGAAGTCATGGTTTTTATTTTGCGTATCACCCACAGTGTTCAGCGGGGGATCTTTTGCAGAGTCATTTGATAAATACTGTGGTTCATAGTAAGATCTCACCCCCTGTTCTAGCCCATCTTGTCCTGGAATCATATTTATACATACTTAATCATACATTGGGGGTGGCGGCAGGGAAGGAAGCTTAAAATAAAGACAAAATTGGCTAGAAGTTTGAAAGAGTTTTAGGGATGGGGTTGTGGCTCAGTGGTAGAGTGCTTGCTGAGCATGTGTGAAGCACTGGGTTCAATCCTCAGCACCACATTAAAAAAAAGAAAGAAAGAAAATAAAGTTATTTTTAAAAGTTAGAGTTTAGAAATTATCATTTTATGGGTGAAGAAACAATGCAATTCTCTTGAGACACAGAAATCATGAATAAAAGAGACTTGTGTGAAATAAGGTGTCTTCCCATTAAACCACGCTAGCTCCCTTTTAATGCCTGTTTTTGTTAAAAGCAATTTCAGCTTCTATGAGGCATCCAATCTTTGACAAGCTTTTGGTCTGTAATTGAGAAAAAAACCACCACCAAGGAGCTAGGAACTTTAAAATAAACGAAAATAATGCAAAATTTCAAAAAATTCCTGGGAAGAAACTGGGTTATCGGTTAATGTTTGGGAAGGGGTGAATTCTTTGTGCACAGGTGAAATGGGTTGCTAACCTAGTGTTTGCTCTGAGGTCATGTTCACTCAGTGGACTGGGATGGATAAAATAATGTCATAATGAGACCCCCTAACAATGGAGCAACTCCTCTTTTCTGGTGGCTCCTGAGGCCCAATGTTGGATAACAAATGGTCTGAGAGGGTGCTACTGAATTCTGCCACAGGTAGAAATATCAGCCACGAAAACAAGAAACCCCTCAACCCTCTGCTTGGAAATTTTTCCTATTTCCATTTACTAGAGTAAGGGAGGTCCTCCTGATGCTTTTGTGGGGGCATCTTAGGATTCAGGGTCATGAGTAGGACCATATTTTTCTGCACCTCCTCACACCTAAAGGCTTTCCAATCACTAATAAACATCTGCAGAAAATCCCTTAGTGACAAGTAATCCCTTATCTAGGTTTCTTTTAATAGAACCCAACACTCTGCAGAACCAACCCTAGAGTCTATCTCCTCAGCATCAGGTGGCAACAGTCAATCAAGTCGCTGGAATGCAAGACAATGCAGGCTGCTGGGGGGGGGAGGGGGAGGGAGAAGGCCATGCCTTTGGACATGCCACAGGGAAAAAACAAAAGGCTTCCAAAGTCTCTGGCTGGAACTCTGAGGCTATTGTGGGAGCTGCTCTGCCCTGCGTTCTTCAGGAGAGGAGAGTGGAAAGTTTGCTTTGATAACAAAGGCATCCCAATAAGGGAGCCTCACCCCAAACGGTTTTGCCTTAATAGTTGGAGGAGAGAATAGGATTGTGACGAGGTGCTTGAATACTTGAATAGCTCATCAGTTTGAAGGGGGCTGGCTAGCAGCATCTACCAATTTCATCACAATTGTTTGTACTTGAGTCTCCTCAGAGCAAAGGAGGGCCTTGTGGGCTTCAGGCAACTGGGGGAAACAAGGGGGACTGTTTCAAGTCTGCTCAGTCCACAGCTGGGTTGAGCACACACACACACGGTGTGTTGGGTGGGTAGCTGTTTTGCTGTTCTTTTTTTTTTTTTTTTAATCAGAATGAGTGGCAAAGACATTTTTCCCCCGTCTTCCTCCTCCTCTTCCCAGTTGCTTTACCTTCAAGGATGATTTGTTTTATTAAACTGACTGTCCCTAGCCTCTGCAGTACATAATAAAAGCCTGACATAGCAGGCTGCCTGCCTTCTGTGTCCTGCAGATACTCATCATAAGTGTCAGGACATACCAAGGTTAGCGGTCACTGGAAGTGTGCTCGCTGGCCCAAACCTTGCCAAACGCTCTTGGCAGCTGAATGAATGTCACAGAGAATAGAAGGGGAATTACAAAGGTTAAAAAGAAGACAGCCTCTCCTATTTTCTGGAGACAGAGAAGCTGATTTTTCACACCTCTGAAACATCCGTAAGCTCATTCATCAGCCTCTTGCGGGGGACCGTAACCTTGCCCCTTGCACAGGTCTCCATGGACACCCCTCCATCCTTGATCCCCTTTAAAAATTGGCCCACCGACCTTGTTTCATCAGTGAAATCATCTTTTCTGAAATGGATAGAAAACAAACTAGGCATCACCTCTCCCTCTCTCTTCTCTCTTCTCTCTCTCTCTCTCTCTCTCTCTCTCTCTCTCTCTCCTAAGAACCAAAGATTCAAATGGCCCATTGAGCATTATCAATAGATTCCAATCTTATCAAGGGAGATCATCTTTACAATACATCTTTTTAGCGCATATTTTTTCTCAAACTTCCTTCAACAGAAAAAGGGAATCTGGACTCATGTATGGGCAGGAGTGGCTAAGGGTTGGGAAAGTAAAATCCTGCCTAGT